ACTCTCAAACAACATCATAATCCAAGTACACTACAGTCTTCACTCTCAAATAACATCATAATTCAAATACACTACAGTCTAAACTCTCAAATAACATTATAATCCAAATACACTCCAGTCTAAACTCTCAAACAACATCATAATCCAAATACACTACAGTCTTCACTCTCAAACAACATCATAATCCAAGTACACTACAGTCTTCACTCTCAAATAACATCATAATCCAAATACACTACAGTCTTCACTCTCAAACAACATCATAATCCATATACACTCCAGTCTTCACTCTCAAACAACATCATAATCCAAGTACACTACAGTCTTCACTCTCAAATAACATCATAATCCAAGTACACTATAGTCTAAACTCTCAAATAACATCATAATCCAAGTACACTACAGTCTAAACTCTCAAACAACAACATAATCCATATACACTCCAGTCTAAACTCTCAAACAACATCATAATCCAAGTACACTACAGTCTTCACTCTCAAACAACATAATAATCCAAATACACTACAGTCTTCACTCTCAAACAACATCATAATCCAAGTACACTATAGTCTAAACTCTCAAATAATATCATAATCCAAATACACTACAGTCTAAACTCTCAAACAACATCATAATCCAAATACACTACAGTCTTCACTCTCAAACAACATCATAATCCAAATACACTACAGTCTTCACTCTCAAACAACATCATAATCCAAATACACTACAGTCTTCACTCTCAAACAACATCATAATCCAAATACACTACAGTCTTCACTCTCAAACAACATCATAATCCAAATACACTACAGTCTTCACTCTCAAACAACATCATAATCCAAATACACTACAGTCTTCACTCTCAAACAACATCATAATCCAAATACACTACAGTCTTCACTCTCAAACAACATCATAATCCAAATACACTACAGTCTTCACTCTCAAACAACATCATAATCCAAATACACTACAGTCTTCACTCTCAAACAACATCATAATCCAAATACACTACAGTCTTCACTCTCAAACAACATCATAATCCAAATACACTACAGTCTTCACTCTCAAACAACATCATAATCCAAATACACTACAGTCTTCACTCTCAAACAACATCATAATCCAAATACACTACAGTCTTCACTCTCAAACAACATCATAATCCAAATACACTACAGTCTTCACTCTCAAACAACATCATAATCCAAATACACTACAGTCTTCACTCTCAAACAACATCATAATCCAAATACACTACAGTCTTCACTCTCAAACAACATCATAATCCAAATACACTACAGTCTTCACTCTCAAACAACATCATAATCCAAATACACTACAGTCTTCACTCTCAAACAACATCATAATCCAAATACACTACAGTCTTCACTCTCAAACAACATCATAATCCAAATACACTACAGTCTTCACTCTCAAACAACATCATAATCCAAATACACTACAGTCTTCACTCTCAAACAACATCATAATCCAAATACACTACAGTCTTCACTCTCAAACAACATCATAATCCAAATACACTACAGTCTTCACTCTCAAACAACATCATAATCCAAATACACTACAGTCTTCACTCTCAAACAACATCATAATCCAAATACACTACAGTCTTCACTCTCAAACAACATCATAATCCAAATACACTACAGTCTTCACTCTCAAACAACATCATAATCCAAATACACTACAGTCTTCACTCTCAAACAACATCATAATCCAAATACACTACAGTCTTCACTCTCAAACAACATCATAATCCAAATACACTACAGTCTTCACTCTCAAACAACATCATAATCCAAATACACTACAGTCTTCACTCTCAAACAACATCATAATCCAAATACACTACAGTCTTCACTCTCAAACAACATCATAATCCAAATACACTACAGTCTTCACTCTCAAACAACATCATAATCCAAATACACTACAGTCTTCACTCTCAAACAACATCATAATCCAAATACACTACAGTCTTCACTCTCAAACAACATCATAATCCAAATACACTACAGTCTTCACTCTCAAACAACATCATAATCCAAATACACTACAGTCTTCACTCTCAAACAACATCATAATCCAAATACACTACAGTCTTCACTCTCAAACAACATCATAATCCAAATACACTACAGTCTTCACTCTCAAACAACATCATAATCCAAATACACTACAGTCTTCACTCTCAAACAACATCATAATCCAAATACACTACAGTCTTCACTCTCAAACAACATCATAATCCAAATACACTACAGTCTTCACTCTCAAACAACATCATAATCCAAATACACTACAGTCTTCACTCTCAAACAACATCATAATCCAAATACACTACAGTCTTCACTCTCAAACAACATCATAATCCAAATACACTACAGTCTTCACTCTCAAACAACATCATAATCCAAATACACTACAGTCTTCACTCTCAAACAACATCATAATCCAAATACACTACAGTCTTCACTCTCAAACAACATCATAATCCAAATACACTACAGTCTTCACTCTCAAACAACATCATAATCCAAATACACTACAGTCTTCACTCTCAAACAACATCATAATCCAAATACACTACAGTCTTCACTCTCAAACAACATCATAATCCAAATACACTACAGTCTTCACTCTCAAACAACATCATAATCCAAATACACTACAGTCTTCACTCTCAAACAACATCATAATCCAAATACACTACAGTCTTCACTCTCAAACAACATCATAATCCAAATACACTACAGTCTTCACTCTCAAACAACATCATAATCCAAATACACTACAGTCTTCACTCTCAAACAACATCATAATCCAAATACACTACAGTCTTCACTCTCAAACAACATCATAATCCAAATACACTACAGTCTTCACTCTCAAACAACATCATAATCCAAATACACTACAGTCTTCACTCTCAAACAACATCATAATCCAAATACACTACAGTCTTCACTCTCAAACAACATCATAATCCAAATACACTACAGTCTTCACTCTCAAACAACATCATAATCCAAATACACTACAGTCTTCACTCTCAAACAACATCATAATCCAAATACACTACAGTCTTCACTCTCAAACAACATCATAATCCAAATACACTACAGTCTTCACTCTCAAACAACATCATAATCCAAATACACTACAGTCTTCACTCTCAAACAACATCATAATCCAAATACACTACAGTCTTCACTCTCAAACAACATCATAATCCAAATACACTACAGTCTTCACTCTCAAACAACATCATAATCCAAATACACTACAGTCTTCACTCTCAAACAACATCATAATCCAAATACACTACAGTCTTCACTCTCAAACAACATCATAATCCAAATACACTACAGTCTTCACTCTCAAACAACATCATAATCCAAATACACTACAGTCTTCACTCTCAAACAACATCATAATCCAAATACACTACAGTCTTCACTCTCAAACAACATCATAATCCAAATACACTACAGTCTTCACTCTCAAACAACATCATAATCCAAATACACTACAGTCTTCACTCTCAAACAACATCATAATCCAAATACACTACAGTCTTCACTCTCAAACAACATCATAATCCAAATACACTACAGTCTTCACTCTCAAACAACATCATAATCCAAATACACTACAGTCTTCACTCTCAAACAACATCATAATCCAAATACACTACAGTCTTCACTCTCAAACAACATCATAATCCAAATACACTACAGTCTTCACTCTCAAACAACATCATAATCCAAATACACTACAGTCTTCACTCTCAAACAACATCATAATCCAAATACACTACAGTCTTCACTCTCAAACAACATCATAATCCAAATACACTACAGTCTTCACTCTCAAACAACATCATAATCCAAATACACTACAGTCTTCACTCTCAAACAACATCATAATCCAAATACACTACAGTCTTCACTCTCAAACAACATCATAATCCAAATACACTACAGTCTTCACTCTCAAACAACATCATAATCCAAATACACTACAGTCTTCACTCTCAAACAACATCATAATCCAAATACACTACAGTCTTCACTCTCAAACAACATCATAATCCAAATACACTACAGTCTTCACTCTCAAACAACATCATAATCCAAATACACTACAGTCTTCACTCTCAAACAACATCATAATCCAAATACACTACAGTCTTCACTCTCAAACAACATCATAATCCAAATACACTACAGTCTTCACTCTCAAACAACATCATAATCCAAATACACTACAGTCTTCACTCTCAAACAACATCATAATCCAAATACACTACAGTCTTCACTCTCAAACAACATCATAATCCAAATACACTACAGTCTTCACTCTCAAACAACATCATAATCCAAATACACTACAGTCTTCACTCTCAAACAACATCATAATCCAAATACACTACAGTCTTCACTCTCAAACAACATCATAATCCAAATACACTACAGTCTTCACTCTCAAACAACATCATAATCCAAATACACTACAGTCTTCACTCTCAAACAACATCATAATCCAAATACACTACAGTCTTCACTCTCAAACAACATCATAATCCAAATACACTACAGTCTTCACTCTCAAACAACATCATAATCCAAATACACTACAGTCTTCACTCTCAAACAACATCATAATCCAAATACACTACAGTCTTCACTCTCAAACAACATCATAATCCAAATACACTACAGTCTTCACTCTCAAACAACATCATAATCCAAATACACTACAGTCTTCACTCTCAAACAACATCATAATCCAAATACACTACAGTCTTCACTCTCAAACAACATCATAATCCAAATACACTACAGTCTTCACTCTCAAACAACATCATAATCCAAATACACTACAGTCTTCACTCTCAAACAACATCATAATCCAAATACACTACAGTCTTCACTCTCAAACAACATCATAATCCAAATACACTACAGTCTTCACTCTCAAACAACATCATAATCCAAATACACTACAGTCTAAACTCTCAAACAACATCATAATTCAAATACACTACAATCTTAGCTTTAGCTCTTAAACAACATAATAGATTTAGCAGTCTTAGCTCTCAAACAAATTTAGAATACTGAAATGATTTTTACTGTAGACAATATTTTTCGTAACATTGCTATTTTCACAATTATATGAATACAGTGAACCTACCACTTTGAAAACAGCAAATTAGAACATCACAGAAACTTCATTCTTATCTTTCAAATGCATAATGATTACAAAGTTAAAGCTCTACAATAGTTTACAGATGATGGGTATTTCACTCCTAGATCAGGTGTATATGGCCCTGGCTCTTCAGTTCCCTATTTACAGAAATCACAGCCACTACCTAGCCTACTGAACAACTCAGTGCCACAGAAATAAATGAAGTTAGCAGCAACACACTCCAACACAAACAGGTAAACACACTCCAACACAAACAGGTAAACTTGTGTTGTCACCTGATTAGGATGGGGCTTCTTCTTCTCTTTTACTCTTGTAGTTGTTTCCCCTGGCAACCTAGGCAACTTTGGTAAGGGAGGTAACAACCGACCCTTAGTAACCAAGAGGTGGCAATTAGATTGGTATAATGTCTGCATATGATTGCAAAATCAAAGGTAATGAAAATGTATAATGTTAATCAAAAGTAAATAAAAACACAATACTTAATTGATCAGCATAATTCTGAAAGTTTAATATCAAACTTTTCAAGTACATTCTTTCTTAAAAGTCTTCCAAATCTAAACTTTACCTGGTTTTCTTTGTAGTTTTTTTCCCTGAAGTTGTAGCCAAGCTGGGCGTAGAAGTTGTTTCCAAAGCTGTATACCTGCCCGTTGCTAAAGACAACCATTGAGTGTCTCCCTCCACAGGCCACACCCACCACCTCTGGACGCCCCGCCCTCTGGGTCAACTTGTTCTGTATCACCTGGAGACGGTCAGACACCACAGTATCTGGGGGCATACCCACCAACTCGATTCGTCTCGGCTCACAGCTACTTTCCATGTCCCAAGTTCCAAGTCTGGTTTCAGGGAAAAACATTGTCAATTGATAGAAATAAATATTATAAACAGAGATTGAGAACGGGAATTCTGATATTCAACTCAAGTTACTGATGTATATATCCTAACATGTTGGATTTAATTCAGTCAAGTTAAATTATCAAATCAACATGCATACCAAGCTCATGTTATACATATTGTTCCAGCACCTGCTTAGCCAAAGCATAAATATTTTGACAAATTTAATATAATACTTGCACCAAAATATTAAATGTACATAAAAATTGCTATATATTAGGTACAATTTACCATAATACTTCTAAAATGACACACCTTCTTTCATGGTGTATGACCCACTGACCGTTGTAGAGAACATAACTCAGGATTGCTCAGTCTGACCCAGTGATGGATGTCCCGTCCCCATGTTACCTTACACAGGAACAGACCCAGCCTATTAGTGTATTGATTTGAGACAAAGGTTTTAACAAGATCAGGTCTAACCTAACATTCCACTTCCCATTACGTCATTTGTTCCACATTGTGTTACCATATTTGTGCTGCATAATGGCTATATGTGGCATATATTTTGTCAGGAAGGTTTTTAAAAGTTGTCTTTCACCATTTTTGGTAGTGCTAATTAGATTTCGAGGAATAAAATGTTCATGGGTGAAATATGAAAAAAAAATAAAGTGTGAAATCAGCCTGGTTAAACTGAATAAGATACTAACAAATTGTCTCCCTTTCATGAATTATGTGCAATCAGTCATTCAATCAATTTTCTTTTCATATGTCTCCTATGTGTAATGTAATGGATTAATGGAAAGACATCACAAACCCATACTATGTCCCCTGAAAAGGGGAGACAATCATTCTGTACATATCATTTAGCCAGCCAAGTCAGTTGTAAAATATATTTTGCATGGATTTGATGACTTAATGTACCTAGTTTATTTGGTACTGTGATATAGTTACAGTTAGATGTGATCATAGACTGAGTAACTCTACCTGATGATAGTTCATTAAGGTAATAGGATCGTGTCACCATTTCTCAGTAGAATTTCTTCAAATTTTGTAGTTATATTGCTTTGGAGTAAAGAAAATGTTCTGCCACAAAAAAATAAAGGTTGTCAGAATTTTAAGTATTTTAAATAGAAATTTATGTAAAAAGGAGTGAATTTTGAAGAAAAAAATGAGACACAAGTTTTTGCAAAATAATGTCAATAAAAATGATAGTGCCATAGATTAGTATTGCATTAATGTATATCAATTTAATAAATGCTGAAATTGTGTAAAATAAATTATCTATAAACGATTAAAATTTGACATTTTATAATAAAACCATATACACATAGTAATTACATGTAAGAGTTATCTGTCCTGAAAAACTTCACAGTAGTGAAATAGGTAGCTGGTGTCCTGAAGTATAGAAAAATGGACACATGTGACTCATTGATAAAAAACAACTGAAGTAATGCCTGGATTGCTTTGAAATACTTTAATATTGAGAGAACACACTGTTCTGTCAATAATAAACACATAATATTCATCAGTTTAATATTAAACATTAGAATATGCGGAAATTGTGATTCTGTCGCCATACATTGGATTTTCAACTAGGGACGTACTTCCTATTTCCGTTTATCAATACACTCTTATGACCTTAATAGTTAGCTTGCTGATACATGTACATATAGCAAACTGTCTCCTATTATTTGATTGGCTGGTTTGGTATTTGATGGTCAACCTTAGCTAACCAGTTGGTGTATTGATATACATGTATATTTAGTTTAGCTAAGTTTACTAGCTTGTTTATTTGTTTTATAATGCTTACGTAACTAATGATACATCATTCATATCTTGTTAATGTAGTTACAATTCTAAACGTACACCAACACATGTGTCAATCTTCTTGTTCTTGTGTCCATATACCCGATGATCTAATACTGTAGAAATAGCCTTAAACCATCATAAAACATATGGATGTACTCTGTCTTTGACACAGACCCTAAAGTTCATTATCAGACAATACAAAGGCTTTCCAGTATGTCATTATTACTGTTAATTCGCCCCCAGTTCATCAGGATAATGTAAGAATTGTCACCAAACCGGTGGGAAAGTAGGTGCTCTCTGACCTAGCCCCCAATGATTAGTGACCCAGCCAGCAAGAAGTTGCTGACTCAAGTTTGGAAACATATGGTACATTGTATTGATGGCAAAGACCAGAAAGTTTTATGGATATTGTTGTAAAAAAAAAGTAATTGCATGTGTCTTCTCAACAGTTCAACCTTGGTGCCAGAAGATTAACTTAACATGGCCACAATGATCTAACAATGTCAGAGTAGGCCGTGTAGTGAGGACAGACAATGTAAGTTAGAGATGGTGTGGACAGGATGGAGTGGGTGCTAAACACACAGAGCCACACTGGCAACGCAAAGTCTTCCAGCTAACACCTGCCAGCATCACTTGACAAGGAAAAGAAATCACAAGTCACACATTGTGTTGGGGAAAGACAAAGAGAAGAGCAATCTAAGGTTTAATACATAATGTATAAGAACCCATCTCCTTCTGGGGTTACGCAAAGAATTGTTTTCAGTTAAGGTGTCAAATTGTGCATGGATAGGAGAGATTGGAGGCCCTAGCATGGCCAACAGGACTGACAGTGTTGGGAGTGGTGACACCGCATTACCCCGCGGGTCCCAAGAGGGGACACGTAGAGGACCTCCATACCAACAGCACAATCAAGCTGGATCAATTAATTTGATTGGGGCAGACAAGTGAAAACACCCGCCATTAGATTAGGGGGACTGGAATTGGATCTAGCTGCACAGTAGTGCAAGGACCGGGCTTCAGCTGGGCATATGTCACAGTTCTATTGGATTAGCCCTCTCACCTCTACCTAACCGTGTCTCTACTGATTTCCTCTCAATTAATCTGTGATTCGGGGGCTGGTAGCTCTGGGCCAGAGGTCCAGATCAATCAGGACACTGCTACACCAACATCTACCCATCCCTGTTGACTTCTGACCACACAGGTTCACCGCCGTCAATCATTGCAGGCGGGACGTAGTCTCCACATGCACACTTCACCGTTTATACCGCCTGCTCCGCAGAAATTCAATCACAGCGTAATGTAAAGTACAGAATCGTAACCTTTCTAAAACTTTGATGTTTCATGTACATTGGATTACATCGGTGTGAGGCTCTTGCATACGGGAGATCAATACGCTCAAACTTAATCAGGTCAGAAAAAAAGTTTCTACGAAAGCCATTGAATTTTTGTGACTCATGGAAGGAAATCTGATCATATTTTGAATATAATAATTTACAATTTCGGTTCCAATGTCACTATGCATTTCTTAGAGAAAATTTGTAATTTGATAACTGTAAAATGCATGACTCTTTTAAGTAAAATAGCACCACAAGGAATCAAATAATTCCTTCATGATGCCCTTATTGTCACATTACCTCAATTGCTTGCTCCAAGGTTACTTGTCACTAATAATTCATTGAAAGAGAGTGAAATAAAAAATTCAAAAGGTTTGTCCATGTTAATCTTAAGTATCACACTTAAGTATGCCGCAGCACTGCTTAATCTTTTTTTTTTTACATTGTTCTAGATTCTGAATTTAATCACAAGACTTTCAGGGGACATGGTACCTTACATGTTATATCTGTGATTACCTCCCTTAATATAATCAAATAACTCAATGCTACACAAGTGTTACCAATATATACACTACTCTATACCTATTAAACCTGTCATCAAAGAAAAAATTCAAAGGTAGGGTCAACACCTATGGAGATTTAACATTAGCATTGGCCCCCACATGGAATTTCAAAACAAGATAAATCCAAAAATGTATGGGCATAGGAAGCTTAAATCAGGAGCAGTTAGTTTCAGAATTCATTTGATGATAAATGGGACCTCATTGACTTGCACCTGTGTGGGTGTTAAAGGTGCAGTAATACAATTCGTCCTAGAGCATTTAAATGGCACAATAACTATAAAATCATATCATCATCGTGTGCAACGTATTTCAACTGTTATTTTGATACCCAATATTACACTATTTCAATAAAGAATTGTTCTTTTTATTTAAGAATTAAGCAGAAAAATATGTGAAATTTCATTTCTTATGAGAAATTTTCCATTTTTGACACGATAATTCATAAAGTTCTAAAACTAGTCTATTTTTCTTACTTGTTAAAAAGTTGGCTACCAATAATATCTTTCAGCATTAGGAACTTCAAAAAAATTGAAAAACGGTAAATTTGTTGTATACTACTTTTGGTTCAAAAAAAGAAAAACATAGCTTTCTTTCCACATTTCCTTTAACCTGTGTTTCTTCATGACTAAAGGTCATTGGGTGTTGATGTTTGGTAAGAAGATTGTTCAGGTAAATGAGTTTAAGTGTTGTTAATTTTGATGACCTTGACCTTTGTTCAAGGTCACAAAAACCAAATGTGCCGAAATATTTTTTTGTATGGGGAGTCAAACAAGGGTATCTTTCCTTGCTTTATTTATTTAGAGTTAACGATATAAAATAGTGTAGTATCCCTTCATATTTTGTTTAATGAATGGTCAAAAGGCTACAAAATTAATAACTAGAACTGTTTGCCAAAGATTAACTAAAACCTCCTCTCCTATATAAACCAGAACTGTAATCTAAAGGCTAACTAATTTATAGGCAAAGCATTGCAAATTAATCCATAGTCTCCCACCAGTAATTATGTATGTACATATGTCACTGAAATACTTCTTGTACTCCCTTCCTATGCCAAAACATACTTCCATACCACATCTTGTTAGCCTAGATGACCCACTTTTGCTGAAATCGTTCTAGTAGTTAATATAAGGAAGAGTTATCAAGACAAAGATTTTTAACAAAGGGCCATACCTCCTTAAAAGGGTCGAAATGAACAAATACTATCCTGATGCAAAACATTAGGGGGTAATTACCATATCTGTAAGCTTTCATGAAATTGGCCCAGAAGTTTAAGAGGCAGACAAAGTTTTTTTC